GAAAAAAAAACCCCCCCCTTCCCCCCCCCCCCCCCCGCCCCCCCCTTTGCTTTCACTGAAACGTAGAAGTTGAGATTTTGCCAATTTCCACCAACTCTGCGTTATGAGACATGGACCTTTGACAGGTGTTTGTTTGAATATCAAACGGAGCCGTGGAGGTCTGCAGATGGTGGGCAGATTGGATTCCAGACACTGGCATTAGTATGAGACGAGGACAGTGTCCATCTCTGTTTTAGCCTGACTCCACTGATGACCATCATCATGGTCTTCATCACCACGTCAACTGTGTGCACACAGTTTTATGAGGTCTAGACGTAGACGTAGTTCTGTAGTGGATCATAATCAAAGACAACTCCAACAAATATGTGAGACGTCTATGCGGAATTATAAACTGAATATTGTCTGAGATCAATTTGGAAAAGTGGATTTGTTTTTTAAATAATTTGTCTGTTCATCAGATTTGGTCTGGTGGCTGTTTGACTGGATGAATGGATGGATTTACAGATGATAAAAATGCCTGATGTGATTGATTTTGTTAATATTTCTTTCTTGTGTGCTTTATTTTTTTACCTGTTTGTTTTCATGTAGTAGAATATAATTGAAGATGAAAGGAGATGAAAGGAGATGAAAGGATTTTATCTATTTTATTACTATTTTTTATTGCTAAACGATTATATAACTTTTTCAGCCATTATTATTTTACTGTACTGTTTAAAAATTTTTAAAAAAGCAGAGTTCAATAATGCTTATCATTTTTACCTTGGTAGTTTTGTAAAGAAGAATAAAAAAACTGAAAAAAATGTACTAGTTCCACAATGTTGTTGTGTAGTGTGAAAAAGCACCAAAATAAATAATAAATAATATAATTTCTCTATATAATATAGAATATTGACTATAACCTAAAGCAGATGTGAATTGTAGTGTCTCAAAATGATGATGTCAGTTTAATTTTACTCAGTTCAGAAGGACAGCATCAATAATGACTTGTACAGTGTTGGATGGTAATAGTATTCATATGGTCTGTACAGTAAGGCTGCATGTATGTGAAAAGGCGTGGATGAGGTCGTGACACAGTGCTGGCTGTACAGTCAGACAACAGCAGGAAGGAATTCTCTAGACCAGAGCAACAGACACAGAAGCCCAGTGCTGTCATGATGCTGTCATGGTGTCCAGCAGGGGGGGGAATAGATTGTCCATCAGAGACAATAGCATATATATATATATATAAATATATATATATATATAAATATATAAATGTACCACCCACACGTACGAGTCTAATGAGGACCCAGGGTTAGAGCTGGACCATGAACAGTTCCTGAGGAGCAGTCCCAGACAGGGTCTGCTCTACTGATCAGATCAGTCCAATTTACTGTCAGAATTATTCATTTCTGTGTTTCAAAAAAATCTGTGTTCATTTACGACAGAGTTGCCGAGTTTATAATTACTTGGTTTAAATAAAAAAAATAAAAAAACAACTGAAAACACATTTTCTCTTTTAGTTTTTGTTTGTGCGCAGTTCAGTGAAAAAAAAAAGAACATAATAAAGACCAGATTGCTTATCGGACAGATATTTTTTTTTTTTTTTTGTATCCAGGTTTTTGGCTGGCCCAATGCCTGGTGAGCTGGCTAACTGATTTGCCAGAGGAATAAAATGAGAATAGGAGGAAAGTATGATTTGCTGGCGAGGTGCACCTCAGTGAGTCAACAGACTCTGGGCACTGCCAGAAAGGCTTGGTGTGCTGTGGTCCTGTGAGCCAGTCGGGTTGTTTGTTCTCGCTCGCTCGCTCTGCTTTTTGTCATTGCATTTCTGGTACAAATCGCAGCTCTACGTTGTTATACCTTCGTGATATATTTTCTTTATCGTCTCCTTCAGGTCCTCTGTGCTGCTGGAGAAGAATGCAGCGCTCGCCTCAAACAAATGAAAGCGTATAGGAGAGGTGAGAGGCCTGAGCCCAGGCTCATGTGGTTCAGTAGACAGCCCCAGCAGAACCAGGCCAAAGTCAACAGGAGCTACAGCACAGCCTGGTGTTCCTGCCCACATATACATCACCTGTTTGGGCCGGTTACATAACATTATAAGAGAACAACTGTTTGAGTGTGATTCTCTTCCTCCTACACACTTTTTACTCTGGAAGACTGAAGTGAGTGAGTAGCCTCGCAGACGTATCTGCAGGTTCACCGTGTCCAGGAACAGCTTAGGAACTGAACCAGCAAGAATCAAATCCTGAAGGGAAAGTCAAAATCCCCCTAAGGTTCTATTTTTTAGTTTAACTTTTGTGGAATTGAAGGGGATTTTTTAAAGCAATTCACAACCATCTGCACTTTCAGGACAAAAAAAAGTAAGTCCACACAACAAGTACCAGATGTGCCTCTGGGCTCCGCGGCCAAGTCTCCATCAGCAGCCAGCGCTCTCTTTCCCCTGAGGGTGGGAGGCCGGCAGCATGCATAATGCCTGAGCTGTTTCATGCAACAGGTAGCCTGCGTTTCCACATTTACCCCCCGCAGCTCTGTTGAAAAAAGGGATCCTGCAGATATCTCAGCAGGAGCAAACCCAGAAAAGTGAAGAAGAAGAAGAAGAGAGTCTCTCTTCCTCACAGCTCCATTGTGATCATCCCCATGCTGCTACCTACAATAACAATGACCTGTGGTCAAATGCATGGCCTCCAGCACCTGCTTCCTACTTCCACTGACCTTTGTCCACACTGACATTAAGACGTTAGCTGATTTTCCTAATCTCGATACAAGACAAACAGAGCTTCCAGAGGAGAAAGGACTCAGGGCCAAATTTGTCTTTTGTTTCTGGAAGATCTATCAAGGAGGGGGCGCACTAGCTCAAAGTTCCACTCCCACCTTCTTTCAAGAGAGAAATAGGAGGAGGGGGTCAGATGCAAGTCGAGCAGAACAGGAGACTGTTTTTTAAACAGGAGGTTTCTCCCTTCAGGTCAAACAAGTTGGCGAAGAATTGTTCCCCCAATAAAGACTTTTCATTGTATTTTTCACCCTGACAGAAACCACATGACACTGATGATTGTTAAAGGTCAATAAAAGACTCACATGCTAACACCGGCCTAACGCTGTGACGGCCATCCATTGGTAATTCATTTATCATTTTACTGCTGATTTCATTCAAAGTGTGTTAAAATCTCAAGCCGGGAAGTCCATCACAGTGACACCCATCCTCACCCATCCTCACCCTTTATGTCAGGGGTGACAAATGTATTTTCACTGAGGGGTCACATCAGTTCCTCTTAAAGGGCCGGTTGTAGCTGTACTCCATGGCATATTAGTACGTTTCTAAAATTGAATATTAAATTACAAATATTGTACATTTCTCTGTGTAATAAAAAAATTAATCAAGTTAGGAAACTCACTAGCATGGACCTTAATTTAAAGCAATTAAACACTTATTAAGCTCCCGCAGGCCACGCATGATGACACGGCGGGCCACATTTGGCCCGCGGGCCTTGAGTTTGACACACGTGCTTCATGTGGTCTTTCTTTAAATGAGTTCAAGGTGAGAAAAGCTCCTCAGAAAACCTCTGAACAAAGGCGAGATGGAGGTGCTGAAAGAAAGTGCCTCCTCTTTCAACTGTCGACGTGCTCGCGGCACCTCCTATCAAGAGGAGAAGAATCCCAGGAAGAAACAAAACTGAAGAGATGCAAAACAACGCCCGCCTCCTGCTGCCTGCTGATTGATTGAGTGGGACGCGTTCCATTTCTCTTCTTTTCAAAGTACTAAAGCCATGAAAAGAGTCAATGGGCATTTACATAAAGACACCAAGTGTAAAGCTGGATCTGGAGCAGAGAGAGTCCTGGTTTGACTGTTCTGGTTAGGAGCTCGTTTTATCTTTAAAAAGCTTCTTCCTCATGTCCTCACATTCAGCCGCCAGTGCTACGGTGGGATTTTAAACAATATATGGTTTATAAATGATATATGTTCGAGGTAAAATATATTAGCCAGGTGTCACTTTCTTTTCTCTCCTGCAGGATCAACTGCAGGTCGTTTTTAATTCCTTTGCACCACTGCGAGGTGTTATATGACGGGCTGCAGACGCAGCATCAGCTGCTGAAACGTATAAACATTTCCATTGGTACAACTATTTTAACAAAAAAATGCAATAACATGTTTGTTTGTTTCAACCAGGACAGCTTAAGAATTAGAAATAGAAATAAAATATTCTACAGCTCTTTTTTTTTAAACGCGGCCGTATCTTAAAGCTCTGGCCAACATTCTTCAGTCACACACAAAGTCGATTGTTGCCTTGTTTGTTCTCCCCGTCTTGTTTTCCTTTTCCCCACCCCGAGCTGCGAGTCTTTAGTCAGAGCTTTGCTTTGACAGGTGAAGATCAACCCACTGGCAACCATGTGGGAATGGAGGGGAGCGGCAGATGTGGGGGCCGCGGAGTTATTCTATACCTTTCCTACATGCAATAACACACTTGAGCAGGACAAAGTTCACAATGCGCCTTTATCCTCTTCTTTCACACATATTGCAACACTGTTTGACTCAGACGGGCATCCGCCAGACAATTACTACATTTAGCATAGCAGTGTTTATTACTCTGTGCTGTCAACAGTAAATGTTGAATGTCAACAACAGAATAGGCATTCAATTTAACATGAAAGTTTTTTGTTTTTTTTTGTTTTTTTTCAAATGTGTCCACTACAAGGGAGCAGCCTGTTTCTGTTTTGATGAATGGTCAGAGAGGAACAGTTGGGCATTAGCGACTTCCGCTGCTAACGCTTAAAAAACAGCGCAGTGATTAAAAAGCAATCACGTACCTAATTATGATAATGTCAATTGAGCTTGTCAAGGATGAATAATTTCAGGAGAGACAGTAAAATATACCTAACAAGGCCTTTTCTCAGCGGTAAACACGGCACTTTTAAAACTGTAATTAGCTCTGTAATGTTTAACACATGGCCGACAAGCCATCCATGGGTCCAACTTCCCTTTTCTCAACCACTTTCCCTGTCTCTCCATAGGACACACTTTCCACATAGCTGGAAATCTAACCGCACAACTAGGAAGCTGTCTCAGAAGGTGGGGGCAAAGTACAGGCGCGTGGAACTCAGCGATTGTTGGACAAATTGTTATTTTCCTGTGCTTGAAATAGACACAGAGGAAATGCAGAATGCTGATCTTACCGAGTATAAAATACTTTTGGCTGAGTACATTCCTGACTACTTTGCTACTTGGCGTTAGCATTATATACTTCCAAAACTGTCCTTTCCAGAGCTGACGCCAACTAACGCGGCACCCCTGCATCCAGCCAGAACAGAGAGCGCCACAGTTCTGTCCAGAAACTCCCCCTCGTGCATCCTCTCCTTACACCCACCCCTGATTCAAAAATGCCCCCTTGAGAGACAGACCCTGATAATCGGTCACAGATTTTTGCTGGCAGGAGACAAAGGGACCTCCTATACACCCCTGCACAGCTGTCTTCATCACAATCTCTGCACCCCACTAGTTGTCTCCCTTCCAACACGCCCCCCCTCGCCCCACACTACAGCCACGGTCCATCGACGGACCAGAGCTCAGCCACTCCTCAGCCCCAAAACACAGAGCCTTTCACAGCCACAGAGAAGCCTCTCATGACCCCGACTTTACACCCCTGTCCCACCCTCTTCATACCCTCGGGCCAGAGTGGGATCTGTGAGACCTTTGGAACTGTTCCTTTAGCTGATCCAACCTGCTGAGGTCATAGAGATGGTCTGGATGAGATCAGAGCACCTGTATCTCAGGTTTTTACTCAATAAGATCTCTTCTTTTCCATCGTTGTGGTTGTGTGATTAACACCAATGGTCCAATAGCAGCTATTGTGACAAATGTGATTGGTGTTACCTGGTTAGGTACTGCATGAACAAAAATAAAATAAAATAAAATAAAATAAAATAAAATAAAATAAAATAAAATAAAATAAAATAAAATAAAATAAAATAAAATAAAATAAAATAAAATAAAATTGAGTGGGATAATAAAACTGAGAACATTGCCCATTTCTGACCATAAAATAACATTGTCAAACCAACAAGCACCGAGAAGCCACACAGATTAGAAACGTATTCACACAGGAAACAGAAAAAAAAGTGCAGGGACACGTTTCACCTCCTGCTCTCACCCTCTCCTACCTATGATAATGGCTTGCATGTGCAGAGCCGGTGTTAAATTGAAGACTTAGGACAGAGAAGACTAAAACAGACACACGGCTGAAAAAAAAGCATAAATAGGAAAAGTTATGGTGATGAAAGACGGGGGAAAGAAGAAGGCAGAGGGAAAGAACGGTGAGTGGGAAGAGGGAGAATAAAGTGATTAGAATTCCAGTCACAACCAGCGCAGCAGTTTGTGCAGTGATCCTGGATTTTCTGAGCTACAGAGCAAAGCTGTTCCCAAGGGGCTCCTGGTAAGGCATAGGTCAACCACCCCTTTCCTGACTCACCACATGTTAAAGGAATTCAGTGGTGCATTGTGGGATATGACACTGGTAACCCCCAAACTAAGTTTCCACATGACTAAAACACACATTCTCCAACCTGTCTGCAATTTCAACTGTGGAAAAAAAAAAAAAAAAGAAAATCTGTCATGCATCGCCATGTGTACAACATATTACCTATTAGGTATACTCTCTCTCTCTCTCTCTCTCTATATATATATATATATATATATATATACTATATATATATATATATACTGTATATACTATATATATACTGTATATACTGTACATATATATATATATATAACTTCTTATCAGTTATCTATATACCAAAAGGTCGTCTTCTCCTTCATTTCCCTCTTTCTTTTCCTGTCCTTTCTCAATGCTATTTTTCTTGCCTTCCCCCCTTCCTCACCGCTCCTTTCTCCTCCTCACCCGACTTGCAAGTAATTGCAGGTTATTAGTAATCACATCTAAACTTTATTGGCTGTAACTATCTGCTTTTACAGATAGTTGACAGAAATATATTTAGGAGATTGAAAAAAATAGTTCTAGGTCTTGACACTCAGGATTTTAGTTTTTATCAGGACTTTTGTATCATGACCGTAGGAGAATTTGGTCAGAACTGTGGGTGTCCATTTTGTTTTTCGTGGGGGGATTACTGCCGGGTTCCTATCTTCCTAGCTCTGGGACCGTGGATGAATGACGGAGATGACGGACATCTGTCGGCCACTCATGCTAAAAAGGGGTGGAGGGAAAAAAAGAAAAAGAAAAACAACTAGAAGACAGACAAAAACAATAGTCTAAAGAAAGATTGGTACTTATAAGGGAAATACCATCGTAAAAAACAATGTAAAAGGTTAGGAGCGGAGCTAAAGAACAAAGGGATTCATGGCTGGTATCCCCAGGCTGAGTCCTCGTGAGCCTGCGGCTACTATTTGGAGCCACAACAGGCCTCAGGGAGATCCTGGCCACAGGTGGTGTCCAGCAGCTGCTGCATGTCTGTGTCCACAAACACACTGTGCCCGCACTAATGCACATTCTGCAAACATCATACACCGATGCACACACACACACACACACACACACGCCCACACCCACACACACACACACAACAGATAGAACCACATTTAAATGCTTGTCACAACATGCACACGCTCACATTTAGAACATAACTGACACCATGCAAAATATATCCTCTCTGAACACACTGGCATAGACAGACAGATATTTCCACTGATAAGTCAACTGACGCATTCTATACAAGAACACCCGTTGATTATTTTTAAATACACCGTCGATGCCAGGGCCGCACATTTGCCCGCAGCTGTTGGGCGGCTGAGTAGAGGAGCGAAAAATATAAATTCTGATATGTTCATAGACAAACGTTTACGGACTCCACAGATGCACACAACCAAGTGCCATAAAACAAATGTGCAGTGTTCTCAAGGAGACATTCTCACACCCACACAGATTCCTGTCAGGAAAGACTGTCCATCGTTTTCATATAATGTAATACTAGACACATACACTGTACAGGCCGAGGGACAAAAATAAAATCACAACTGCCCCTTGATTTCTGCATTTCAACAGTTTCTTCCACACAATTTCACACACGTGGGAAACAACAGAAGCAATGTATTTTGGATTCCAGAGCAAATAGGCAACAAATTAAAACCGGCAGTTTTAAGTGATGGGTTTCATCACGTCACATGACTAAAACATTATGCAAACACTTTTTAATGCAATTGTTTCTCTAATTGGTCCAAGGATTTGAACTTGTTGCCCTACAGTATAAATATGTGACTCATTTCAGGGAAGAAAAGGCAACAAACATGTGTCATTTGACTAATGCAGTTACAGGCACACACGTAATCCAGTTTAATAAGAATAATGATAGAACGTGTCGATCATTGAAAACAACAGCGATGCCACGTTTGCCACAGGACTGAGGTGTCGCTGCAGAATCACATTCTCTGTCTGTCAACCTTCCAGCGTCATGTGTTTTCTTGCCACACTTAACAGAATCAGTGCAGCCTGAAGATTCTGGTTTGTCATGACCGCCCCTCTGAACCATCATCCAGTTGTGGCTCTGATCAGTAGATTACCTGCCTCCCTGCCCTGACATGGATAATATGTCACAGGCTGTAAAACAAAAACACATTCACAGCCATGGGTAGCCATCACTGATCTAGTTAACTGAGTAAGATTAAGTGTGAGTCAGTAATGATATGATTGAATTGATGATCTTGTAAAACAGGGGTGCCCAACCGCCGGTCCATGTAATAAGAAGAATAAAGTCAAAAAGATGTTTTATTTTGAGAACTTACGGCTGATACCGGCCGACCAGTCCTAAGTATAACACTGGTCATTTAGAATGATTTTTCTATAGACGTTCATATGGAGTACCTTCTGTTACATTCTACCATTAGTGTATGGAAGCAGACAGGATCCAAATGAAATACTCAGGAGACTGTCTTACAAGTGCAGAGAATGTATTTACGAAGTGAAAGATATCACAACCTCACTGGGCCTCAGGAACAAAGAGCAACAATCCCACCAAGACAGAGTGAGGGAGAGAGGTACATGCAGTATAAACCCAGGGCACCAGGTGACAGGAGAGAGACTGATGACAGACACAGCTAAGTGTGATCACACTAATCAACTCCACACAGGAGGAAAGGGAGACGAAGAAACCTCACAACTTCCAAAGATCGCCAATAAGGGACCAGATATAGTCAAGGTCAGTAGGTCCAGGCCCTATATACTGTATATATTGTTTTTAAAATATTTTTTTCACTATATATATATATATATATACACACTGCATATATATACACTGCAGTGGCGCTTTGGCCCAGAGGCGATGTCTCTGTCATTGGTGTGGAACCCCAGGGTTCACCTCCTGGGCAAGTTAGAATCCCGGTTAGGGCGGTTGGTACCTTCCAGTGGACTCACCACCCGCAGGAAGGTTTTGGTACGGTGCAATGTGATTTGGGTGGAGACTGCTGCCCCCGCGACCCGGTAACGTATAAGCGGCTGAAAATGGATGGATGGATGGATGGATATATACACTTCATTTATGTACACTGTAAATATATATATATATATATATATATATTTACACTGCATTTCCATCACCTGAACAGCCAAACCAAACTAACAGATTGATTGACTCACACCTGAGTCACTGCAGATTCTTGTGTGTTGCTGTAGTAGCAGCTAATATTTGCCCACCTCCAGCAAAGATGATGGATAAACCTACAACCGGTATTGTACATGTGCTGTTCAGCTTAAAAAAAAACCCAGTGTTTCTGATTTAATCACATCCACGCACTGTGAATCAGGTCGGCGCGGTAACATGACTCGACACAGGTTGCACAACAGCGAGATTGAAACAGCAATTTATGAGGTGTTTAGAGAGAGATTAACAACATATTTTCTATTTATCGCTCTCTTTTGTATGGCCCTATTGTCCAGACTGAGTTAAGATGATGGATTTAGGGCGTGTGAATGTTGTCAGGGATTTCGATTCTACAGACGGGGGAATAAATACATGCACATTTGGATCAGTGCGCGCGCTCTCTGCGATGCTAATACATGAAAGTGAGGTGGGTGGTTATTCAGTCAGGACTGCAGGCCTCGTCTTGCCCCTGTGTGATCAGACATATATCTATCATCACATGACTGTGCTGCAGGGGAAGATCTGAGCAGAATTCATGGGATTATTGTCGGCCTCCTCCAGCGTTTGTCTTTTAGGAAGCCTGGGACGGGGGGTGGAGGGCGAAGGGTGGGGCTTTAAAATCTGACAAATTGCTGAAAATTGCCTTCACACCGTCATTCCTGTTTGGACACACTTGGCACATCTGGTTGTGATCTGGCAACAAAAGCGCGGCGGTGGAGGGCTCAGCTCTCAGAACAGCGCTCCACAGTATTCACTCCTCATTTGGTTTGCAAACATAGTGGCAATCATCCCACCCTCCCCCCACTCTCCCCCCTCCACTCTCTCTGTTGGGTGTTAGGTTTTAACGGTGTTGTGTCATAAGACTTGGCAGTTAGCGTCGGAGCATTCCTGAGCTCCTCTTCTGCTTCGAGGCAATCAGTGGGATGAAACTGAGGCGTCTGCGAAGATGAATGGCGCTGCGAGCCGAGCGCAGTTTTCAAAGAGGAAAGCTGCTCACAATCTGTGAGGCTCGAGACGCAGACGATGAGATGTTTGCAGAAATAAATTCTCGGTGTTTGGCGTGATGCATGATGCAGCACACATGCATCCTCCATAACTCACACACATTTAATGTGCAGTTCAAAAGTGAAGCATCACAGTCCACAGAGATCTCTCTGTTGGTATGTGACTGATCACAGTGTGTGGTGCAG